CCCCTTTGAGGACGCAGAAGGGAAGTGGTATTTTACTTCCTATTCTTCTTGAAATTTCTGCACTCTTCTAGCTCATTTCTGGGCACACTTCTCCATGATAAATCAACCTGTCAGCTTAGACGCAGTCAGTAGATATACATGTACACAAGCACTTCGTGTAGTCAAGCTCACATCCATGATATCGCATTGTGGTCATCACATGCACTGTGCACTAAGCACTGGTTATGAATAGGCTCATTCACAAATGGCAATATCTTTATTTTCTTTGCCCCTAATCATTGGACCATGCATACAAAACGATTATGAAAAAGTCGTTTTAATTCATACTAAAAGACAAACTGTAGAATGAGGGAGTTTTGGGAGGACACACAGAAGTAAATATTGTCATCATTTCATTCACTTTTGTCCCTGACGCACCAATCTTGTTCCCATTCATACGAGCTTGCAGCGCTATGAAAGTTCAAGGGAATGCACAAGCTGCCCATGGAGTCGAGGGTGGTGTCTGTATCAATTGGCTGTGGCTTAAAATTACACACGAATCTACAGGTACGGTTGTGGCTGCACCCACTTTGCATACAGTTGTATGCGTAATTGAAGCCGCAGCCAAGCTTTTTCGGCACAATCAGTGCATATGTGAGTATGTATTGTACGACATACGATGACGAGGAGTAAATTTCTTTGACTAAAAAAAAACTAAAAAATCAGAACAGTTCTGCTTAAATCAAACAGTTGGCAGGTCTGTGATTATACAAAATTCTCACTATAACACTCAATGAAGACCATTATCTGTGTTGAGCAAAGCCCCCCATCATTGGTTGAAAGGAGTGATGTTGGTGGTGTGTGTTCATTTTGTTGGTAGTGACGCAACTGCAATACATGCATTTCATAGTTGTCTGTGAACCAGTTAAGTGGAGTTCCAACCAAAGGAACCTCCACTGGCAAGAAAATTATGCCCTCTCCTGGCCCAGCTTAGGTCCGATTATGCATGCCAATAGTTGTGACGTTCATCAGGCTCTAGGGATCTACATGACTATTGAGGATGGGCAAACTTCCCAGATGGAATTTGGTGCACCAGGCAGTTTCCAGATTTTTGTTTTTCTTCTGAAAATCACAGTATTCCAATTTTTAGTCCCTTGATAACTAAAAAATCAGAACAGTTGGCATGCATGTAATGGCGTAGTTTTCAATAGAAAATATCGTCACAAATTTTCATATTGTCTTGCCTGAATTATCATAAATGGGTATTTAACAATAAACAAATCAAACTGAGTGTGTAGGAAGTTTTATTTCTTGCCATTTTCAACCATATGCATGAGCATGTGCTGCCCCCCCCTGAATCACGAATGGCAACGGGGCCAGCAACAGTGACTGGACTAATTCAAAAGCCAAATTTCCAGTGTGGTCACATGGCCATCACAAACAGTTAAAGATTGGACTATCCATAAGCTACACGTACAACTGAGTGATGGCTGGTGATCAGGCAACCTTGCGGCTATAGACTAGATACTGTTACTTGCATGATCATAATGGTACTGTAGCGTATTGTGTGCACAACTGTATTGTGTGAAAAGAATCAAGTGCGTCAGGGAGTAATGACTCACAAAAAAGTTTCGCAATCAGTTTAAACTTGTTTGCGTTTCAGCCGAGGTTTCTTTGAAATTGGCTAAATGAAACTTCCGAGTTAAATGGAGGTACCGTGAAGGCATTCCATGCTTTGGAGGTAGCCATGCACACAATCTCCAATACAGGCGATTCACTACGAAGTGCGCCACCAAGAGGTTGTCAGAGAGGCCTCTTTGCAGTGCATTATGGGATAGTCGAAAAAGTCTCATTCACTAACTGTGATGTGCACGAATAACCTGATTTTTTTCTTAATGTTTGTTGTTTATCTTGGTTGAAAATTCAAAACTGCTTATTGCGAATGGGTGTTAGGTAGTCAAAATAATGGTTTTGTGTGGTGCAGGGAATGTCTCAATCAATCAATCAATCAAATATCCCAAATTACGTACCAAGTGCGCTTAATCACAGCAGCGTGTCGACCGTAAACTTGAAAAGTGGCCTGTCTGTGATAAACTCTTGATGGCATGCTCTATTGTGAATCGCCTGTATTCTCCTGTCGGAAATGAAGTGTGACTTCAAGGTAAACAATGTTTTCAAGTTATTCAACTTTTCTTGTACACGGCATGTTTGCAGAAGTCTTTCGAAGAAAAGTGAAGTCTACGATGACAGCATGATCAACAAATCCTGTAGATTGACTTATCACAGACATATTAGTACTGTTAATCCAAAACTATCTAGCGTTTACCATACTTAAATATGCGATATATTGAATATACTTGATACAGTAAACTCCGGCTAAGTCGACACTCTTGGGACTCAAGAAATTATGACGACTTACGCAAATGCCGACTTGTGTTGTAAGTCATCATTTTGCCGACGTACACGTACACATGTATTGCCTATGTACATTATACTTGCACTAATTTTGGGTTTGATTTATCCTGGTTTATTTCTACCTCCATGGTCGATTCCAGCAAATTCGTTCTAGATTATTATCCTGCAAATTCAATAATTGACCATGTGCCCCTATGGACGAAGCAAGGACGGCAAGCCACTTGCATATCACATCACGGCTCGACAGTGCAGTACGTATGTACATGTACATGTTTGTGACACAGTTACGGTAAAGAAAACATACACTCATCCACACACACGCATTGGTTAAGTTCGTTCCATACACATTTAGTCTGGATACCAGACCCGACTATTCTGACTACCCGACAAAACATTATCAAGGGTCGTCCGGGAATCTTTGGGCAGGGAACCAGACTATATTCAATAAGACGACCCCCAAAATGGACAGGGCGCATGTGTGTTGCACTAGAGGGGTTACTGGTATTGATGTACTCATGCTGGCCGTGCGTGCACGGCACATGCGACTTGTCACTTGACACTTCTTGGCAACCGCAGCGAAGGATCAGGAAACCGATACAGAAGCATGACTTGTTTAAAATGAAGACTTACACAAAGGAATTTTTTTTGGTTTTGAGGAAAAAGGACCAAGAAAAACATGCTGACATATACGAAATGACGACTTATAAAGGCCGACTTAGAAATGAAATTTTCAGTGGAAATGGATTACAGACGATCGGGACTTTTGTCAAACGGCTGACTTGGACAAATGACGGGTTACGCGATGTCGACTTTACTGTAAACTGGAGTTGACTGTATTTTCTGTAGTTTTCCTTGATGAAAAATCTGACGTCAACGGACCCTATCCCGCCCCAAAGACACAACTGCCTCCATTACTATTTTTTTCTGATCAGGTGGTGAACTAACAATTTAGTTTGGCCTGTTTTTTGGGCATCATCAATCACTGCACTAAGCATAACGTTGGAAAAAGTTTTTAAGAATGATTTCTAGCGTATGATTCATCAAATATAGTGAAACGTTTGAATAATAAAACCTTGTCATTATTTGTAAAATAAAATGTACATGTAAGAATTAAATAAAAACACTAAGACAGTCGGTTGTAATCATTGTTTCATGTTTCATGTGTGCAGGCTCAGAAGACTTAAACAGAGGGGAACCAATTCATGACAACGTTGCGTAACGTTTGGCGAATGGCTGCTCACGATTGTTCTCGTTGTAGACCATTTGTTCCCCTCTAGCTTTGTTCACTTTTACTCACGCAAGGCCCTAAAATTAACATGGTGATGGAATGGGAAATTGGCTTATTTACATGTATGGCTAAGGATGAGGACGACGTAACAAGGGTGAGAATGCCAAGACTGAATATCAACTGGTACGAAACCTTTCTTACACAAATTGTGTCAGAGAGAGATATTTTATTTTCCATCCATTTTGTAATATTCAATGTGAGACGATGTTTTCTTCTGGCACATGGCGGTGTTGGAAATTTCAAATAATTATGAAACACTGTGAGTGCACAATCATGAACCCATCAAAACTTACAGTACGTGCCCCATGAGAATTTCACCTTTTCTTTCTTTTTTTTTTAGTTTAATGCACGAAACTCCCACACTGCACTTTATTATTGGGCAGTAACGTCTAGCATACATCAATCATGCAAGGTACACAAGCTCGTTAGTGAAAGCATCAGTTCTTTTACCCAAAATCCTTTGCAACATGAATAATTCAGTGTTTTTTTCTGAGCTTAGGGGCTAGGGTGAATTAAATTCTCTGTGACAATCAAAGTGAGGTTTAATTTAGCACCCTTCTAATTTCATTGTACTTTTTTCCGGTACAGGGATATGGGGGGCTTGTTTTGTAATTTTGGTCAAGTCTTTTTTAAAGTTATATGAGCATGTGAATGGGACAGGGGATTCAGTAATTTATTGAGGGTTCAAGGTTTATGGTAACATTTTTGTCAGACGTTTGAAACTGACAAAAGCCCTTGTAAAATTGGATCATTGGTTCCTGTATATGATTTCCCTTTGCCGATGTGCACGCGGTGCAGATGAATGGAGTGTGTCACCACCGGGGCAATGCATTTCATGACTGGCCGTAGTTGGTAACCACAGTGGATGACAGTAACCATGTACAGTCCATCAATAAGCATGTTCACAAGATTCTACATTGGGTCAAGATGAAACATGCAACACAAGAGACACCTATTGATGACTAACTGCACTTGCAATTATGTGCTCCAGGAGTTAGAACCACAGGACCACTCTATATAAGTGGGTTGCCAAAAAATGCTTTTTACACAATGCAGTTATGAAACTTCTCAAAAGAGGAATTCCACACTACACCATTTCGCTTTGACTGATAGGACTAGAATCTGCATATATTCACCGGGACTGACAATGTACATTTATTACAACCAGAATTTTGCCATAACTGAGTCCATAATATTAACAGGAGACAACTAAACCTATTTTAGTCAAAAGTAGTTTACACTGGTTCCTTACCACGCTCACCATTTCCAACAACACGCTCGACTGCATTTACTTTCAAGCTTGTTTATCATCACTCACCAAATATACTAATGCATATGAAAGATTCGGTGTGTCGGTCCATCCTCGGCACAACCACGATGAGAAAGAGGGTCGTCTGAGACGGCCTCTGCCGCTACTCTCGCCGGATCCGCATGGTGCGTCCGAACCCGAAAAAAAACGAGAAAAAAAATCAACATCTGTGATGTCTTTTCTTGGATGAAAACCGGCATGCGGAGCCAAACAAAAACAACGCCATGGCTAGTTCACAAATATGACACAATCCAGGGTAGTTCTCCACAAAATAGCAGCATTCCGTGTACTGCTAGATTGACTGGTGTCCCAGGAAGTCACCAGCACATGAACGGTCAAGCTGTACCGGGCTATCCGTGTACAACATGAGTCACAACACCGGTAAAGCAAGCTACAGGCTGGCCGCTCTCGTTGATTAACGTTGGTTTATCGAACCAAAAGCGTTCTCCATCCGTCCAAAATTAGCGCCTGGCCTGTCATGGGACAGCTGTCAAGACTGCAAATCCTTTCACTTTCGCACCAAAACCACAGAGTGTGGTGAATTTCAGGGGTGGTTTTTCCGCGGACGGCTGCCACATCGAGGTCGCCCATGCACGCAATACACCGTCAATGGCGAACAAGTCCTCCAGACTGGACGGGCCCTGGCCACTGGCAGACAGGTAGGTCTCGTTCATGTCTGGTATGTAACCGCAGAGGGCTACATTTGTCGTGTTAAAAGTAAGATATATTTATTCTTTTGATTTATTTAAAGTCATTATTTATACAATTATAACATCATGTTTTTGCGTTTAAAGGTAAAACTTGAAGAACAATTTCGATTCCACCCAACTGTATGTCGAATATTATCCCTCTATTATTACCTAATACCCATGTTATAATGAAGCTGTCGAATCAATTAATTAGCTTGCATTGCAGCAGCCAGCAGGTAGGGGGCGTCTAGTTCCCATGACTACAAGGTCTCCCACGTTTATTGTGTACATTTTCACGATTTACTTCTTGATAGGCATCTAGCGTTGTTCAAAACTCTAATTTTCTTTGCATATCAAGGGAAACCCTCATTTTTTAAAGAATACGACCGAAGAGAAATCATGGGCGAGACGAAACCAAGTGCAGGAAAAGCAGGTGCTAGTTTAAACTTTGTCGCAAACGACCAGATTTGGTAAGTTTAAAGTTGGATGAGGAGTGCCCGTGTTGATGTCTCAATCAACGGCCTAAACTCTGCCATGTGGGCACATGTCCCCTATCCCTTGGCCTCTGCGGTCTTTGTACATGCTGTCTGTAGCCAGTTTCCTAGTATTATTTCATTGCAGATTTCCTGGTCATTAAGGATGGGGAAAATACCGTGTCGGACAATGGCAATTCTCAAGTGTCATCAACACCAACAAGTATTTAAAGGGGCATCTGCTGATTTTAGGGGAATTTAAGGTTTACATTATTTACAAATGGAAATTAGTCAATTTCTTAACCTATCAAGACCGTAGAAATTCCCAATTTACATAAAAGTCCCTTTGGAAAGAGTTCCATATACGGACAACACTTGATGCCCCTGTGCACAAACCTGTGAGACTTGTCTGAAAAAAAACCCCAAGTGTTTATTAAGTAAATGCTTCGGAATTTTCTCAGCTAAATTGAACTTTTTGGGACATGTTATCACTTCCTGATGGCCGTTACAACATTTTAAGAAAAAATTAGTGTTGTCTGTATATGGAGCTCTTTCCATACCTTTATGTCAATAATAAATTGATGTTAATAATCAGCTTTTTATCTGTTAGACCAACAAAGTCAAATTTTTTCCTCAGGCCATGAGAACAAACATTCGGATACTGTCCAACGCACGCATACCGCTGAAACGGCCGCCAAAAATTTCTGTTATTCCCCAAAACTATCATTATTGAGGAAAAAACATTGTTTTTTGCATCAGAAATAGCAAACAAATGGCCAGATGGAATTTCAGGCTATTCGTGGTGAAGGACAGAAATAAGTGGAAAGGTTTGCGGTAGCACCATGCGAAGGAATATATCTCTTATGAGTCTGTGTGGTTTTGAACAGAACCGTGAGTATACTTGACGTTTCGGACTGCGTGCTCAGTCTGTCGTCAGAACCATACATACTCATACGAGATATATTCCTTCGCATGGTGCTACCGCAAATCTTTCCACTTATAAACAAATGGCCTCCTAAAAACATTGCAAGTGTACAAATTAGTCACGGCGTGAGGCAAGATGGACTGAGAACTAGTCTCTGATGCATTTCAAGATTGGTTCCTTCTGCTTGGACTTGTATGTAATCAGTGTACAGTAAACAACCTCTTCCAAATAATGAATAATGAAAAAAAGCCTCATGGGTTTTCAAAATCTTATGGATTGAATTCCGGGATGTTCAATCTCACGGCCTAACTAACTAAAATTTTCAAGGCCTAAGTAATTAGACTAACTCCAGATTTCCAGGGTTATTTCTTTCCCACACCTTGCACAGTGTCAAGGCCTGCACCACAATGCCACCAGATAAAGCTAGGCTACTTTTACTTCCAGAACTGTAAGGCACAACCCTGTGTGCATACAAGGTCTTACATGTCATACATGCCGTACAGTTTTCAGAAGTAAGGCTAGGCAACCCACTTTGAGAATGGACAAAATACAGCTCGAATGGGAGACTGAGACACTTGTTGGTGGCGGCAAACATGCTGATCCTTTTTATCAGTTCTGAGCAGGCGCATATTATTCCAAGCACGTGTGCAGTAGTTCTGAGGCTTTACAGACACTTCGCCCCTAACCATGTCGCCCCATTGCCACTTCGCCTCTCTGGCAGTTTGCTCCAATGTAAACTATAAGATCTTTTGTTTTAGTTTAATCTAGGCGGAGGCTGCAACATCAACAGTTTGTCTGCCCAGCCAAACTAAAGGTTTCCATTCAAACAATTTTTCAAGGAAAATGTTACAATAAACACGATCATCCTGACAGTCTGTTGACGTCCAGCCTCACGCGATTCGGGTTGATACGAGTCACACGGCCAGGAAATAATCTAATTCTTTCAATGCAGTGACACACGTGAGTGAAGTCGGCAACTCCCTCTATCGCTGTAAGGAGCATGAAGGTATGCTGAAATTGTAATTGCATGCGCGTGCTCAGTTTCACCAAAATATGATTATAGAAACTTAAGGGATAATGTGACTCTTGACTGACATTTATGTTAATATTGCATTTCTAGCGTCAAACAATCCCGGGTGTCTGACCACGTGGGATGCCGGTCATCTATCTTACCACCCGGTGATGCGTTCGCTGCATGCAACTGTTTCTACCTTCGTGGTACTCTGAAGTTAAGACTCTACAATAGAATATATTTGCCAAAGGAGAATATAAAGGAAAGACATGCATGTTTTTATTTCTGTCTTCCAACAGTCCACTTTGTTTGGAAACAGATTCACAAAAGTGGAAGAGAAGACTGTGGATCCATAGAGGACTACAGAGAAACTATGATGAAAATAAAAGGGAATGATATTGTTCTTTTCGTGACTGAAATTTTATTATCAAATCCATTTTCACTTGGTGTCAATCCATGCCACCGACATGTATAAAAAGGCACCCTGTTTATGCCAGAGTTTCCAAATGCATTCAAGCTTGACCGGGGTGAATTGGAAATGGGGCGAAGTGGCTGTGGGGTGATGTGGGGATGGGGCTTCGTGGCAATGGAGCGAAGTGGTTAAGGGCGAAGTGGTTAGGGGTACAGCGGAAACGGGGCAAAGTGACTGACACCCATTGTGCGCACATGTGATACTGTGAAAAGGACCAGTATGTCTGCTGCTGCCAGCATCTCAGGTCGAGGTCGGGCGGTCTGTTCTTGACAGGGGTTTCTTATTCCCACGCTTGAACGGCGAGAACACGACCCAAGAACACTGTTCTTGGAACAGAATCACACACCACCTTCTCATCAGGGTTTTACACGAACACATGGAAAACTCGTGAGATTTGATTTTTGAAACCCCACAAAAACAATCGAGATAGCTTACAAAGCTGGTGACAATGGAAAGTTTTGCAAAATTAACAATAATTTTCCATAGCAGAAATTATTTGTTTTTAATGGAAAACAAGTGAGCCCAGCTACTGAAACATTAAGTCTCGAAGAATGCACTAGGACACTGCCATGTTGCATGTTGCTTGCTACAAACAAATGTAGCAATAACCGGTTGTACGTTCCTGGCGTTTAAGTGGCCAGACCACGAACACCAAATCGAACTGTTCGTGAACATATGAGAACAAGCCGCCCGAACTCAGCCTCAAAGTCCCCCATTCTGTTTCACACAGCACGCCTACATTGAAAATGCTTTTAGATTGTCACTTTTACTGCAGGCCAGTGCAGTGCATGATTATAATTTTTCAAGTGGCTGTAGTTAGGGTAACTGTAAGGCAGCTAGGAAATTCTATGGTTACAGCATTGCACAATATTATCATTGCCCAGTATACAGAGTTTCAATTTCCACCCATTGTCATGGTACTGTTTATCGTAAAGTCATCGTGCCGTGTTCGAGCCACATTCTGTAGGTTATTTTTAAAAAAATTGTTTTCTTCCTTTATTTTTTTTTCTTAGTCAGATCATGTGGTTACTTTCCATACATGTTTTTCTTTTCTTTTTAGGTAGATTCATATTCCTGAAGGATTTTTAAAAGGGAAATAAAGTCTGCCAGATCCACTGGTTACAGACTGGTCTGGTTTCTGTTTCCAGTGCACAAGATAAATGCAACAAATTTAGACAGCAACCTGTCTAAACTTCTGTAACTATTGCACTGCATATGTATGATGTTTGTCTGTCAAAAATGCTTACAATAAAATAAAAACCAACACACAATTATCTGAAAGATGTCAATAATTTTCCAAAGGTATGACCGCAAGGGGCCAAAACTACTTTTAAAGAGCTTGATACTTGAAAGAATAATCAAATTGACAGCTTATTGGAGCAAAAAGGAAATGAAACTGAGATGGGGTCATCAACTACCAGATGGACAAAAACTTACCAATGGAAATGAAAGTTGTGAAACATAAGATGAAGTTTGGGATAAAATATGAGCCCTGATGTGAAAATAAAGTTCATTTGGCTTCAGTACTACAGTTCACAAGGATGGAAACTTAAAGTTCGCAGTTTGAATCTGCGCCATTATGAATGACATCTTTTTGTCCAGTCACAGTTTATCCAGTTCAGGAGACTGTGATTAAATCAAAATAATGTACCCCATGATTGTGCCGAGAGATATGATAAAAAGCAAAGGTTTAATGACTTTGGACCTAGTTTGTAGATAATAGATTCAAAGTACTGTACATATACCATCCTTTGTTTTCCCTAAACTTAGCAGTCATTTCCCTAAAGTTTGTATTCCGGCCTCAGCGATCCATTCATTCTTGCCATAATGCGCAATGCTACTGTACATAAATACTAATGCATTCAAAGGCTTCATAAAAATCAGAACATCAGAATTCTCCCAGATAATTCATATCAAAATACAATAATTAGTAAGTTTTAACTTGTGCCAATACATTTGAAACCTATAGACACTAACTTGAACGCCAAATTGAATAACTTCAAAATTAAGTTTTGCACTGTTTAAATGATCAATAGAAGAAGCTTTAAACTGAGTTTGGTCTATTTATTGCATCAATCAACTGTGGTGCTTCTTATCCCTTGCATTTTCTACTATTTCAAGAGAATAAGTCAACACTCATTCTTACAACTAGAGCCCCTCACTTGGATGCATATGTGTAGCTAAGTGTGAACAGCAGAATACTTAAAAATTGCTTGGTATTCAAGGAGAAACTCGATAAATTACTTGAATTATGGTTCCATCATCTTTGCCACCATGTAATCTGCCTTAAGTTGAAGTGCATCCTCAGAGGCAAAGAGGAGACACACCAGTGGGAAGTCTTTCAACCATGGCTTTGGCATAATGTGCTTGTTGTACAGTATAGACTGTGCATTCAAACAGAAATTGATTGCACATGCTCAGCATGTCCTGTGCCAAATGTGCAAAAAGCTGTACGTGCACACGGTGAGTTCCCGCCAAGGGACCAAGGGACTATCGTTACGTCTGCTTGGAGTGGACTGCCCAGACAAGCAATTGCCAATAGAGCGGTCGCTCACAATAAGGTGTGTATCTCAGAGGACAGTGCAGGCAGAAATTCAAACGAACTAATACATGTACCATGGACCACATGCCACAAATCATGAGTCCATGGGTCCATGTGAATCTCATGCACAATAAGCAGATATGTTTGCAAGTTATTGCAGCTCCATCTTTGTTCCAAAGCCGGTAATGTAGCCAGGATCTTCTGGGGGTGGGGACAACAGGGATCATGACTATTTTTAAGGGGGTCAGTTCAATTTGATTCTAGACAGATGTCTACACTAAAGTTATGTATATCAACGCACTACAGGTAACATGGCGACTCCCCCCTCCCCCAAAAAAGTCCCACGGGGGCAGCCCCCTTCCCCCACATGCCACACAGTGTGCAAACTGAACTGCAGCAGATCCTTGGAGACATCCAGTTACTATTAGGTGTCATCACCAATCTTCCATAGGGACTGTCTTGGGCATTTTTGTTGGAGTCATTATGTGGAATCTAAGGGTAGCTGACTGCAATCGCGCTTTTCCTACATTGACACCGTCAGTACAGATCACCATGAAATTGAATATAACATCCTAGGGGTACAAGCAGCTTATATACATTGTATGGCATGTTAATATTTCATATTGTTATAGTACTGAATCATTGTCAAGCATTGTTTTCATATTGAATTCACAACATTCATGGGATTGCTGGTGATGTTTCTGAATATCGCAAGTCAGTGAATTATTCTCAGCGTGCATTTCAAAGAAGAGGGGCCCAGGAATGGAGGTGAGAATGAACCACCCATCCTGGGATACTACTGCATTTCACTTGTTAAATGCTTTCCTTTCCACCTTGTAAGTATCAGTGAATGAGTAGCCCAGAGAGTTGATTTTTTTCTTTTGTGCATATTTTGTTCATTTTGTAGGAAAGATCACATCAAGTATGAAATAGATGCTGCACGCCGATGGCCAAATGACTGGGGATTCCTCCGGACAAGTTACAATGATGTGAGTATCCCTAAGCCCTAATTTTTCCTTGATAAAACTGATGACATTCTTGTAAAAAAACACTATTTTGTTTTTGCTTTTTATGTTCTTTTTTGTTTACATACCTTACAAGTCTTCAGTTTTTGAGTTGGCATGATACAAAGCAATGCGTAAAGTGGATTACTTTCCAGATCCTGTTTTTAGGAGAAATCATTAATTTGATGTTCTTTAGGGAATTGCGGTTTCTGCCTTATGTTACATTTGTCATGGCTTGGGATTGGCGGAAAGGGTTTGAGAAGTTCGACAGACAGTGACAGATGGAGCAGCAGTTGTCGTTAACCTTCTGGATCTCATTTACTGTGCATTTTCTGTGAATGTCAAGTGCAAACATTGAATTCACTGGTATGGATCAACATGCCAAGTGAACTTTGATGCTTTATCCCATTGTAAGCCGCCATAGTTGGGTGCAGTTACAGTAATGTGTGAAGACTGTATGAAAACTGCCCGGTAGAAGGACACCAAGTCCATGACTGATTGCCAGCCAGACCAGTCTTATCGGCTTCCAGCAAGATAAATGACCAGATGACCAGAGTTAATGGGCCGGTCATTGAAAACGTGACTATCAGGTTTAAGTAGGCAAGGTTACTGCATCACAAGGCACCAGTAATACTTCATATGGAGTCTGTATTTTTCTCCTTTACACACACAAAATTTCAAACTGGCCTTGACCAGTGGGCATTATAGTCTAGACAAGCAGATGATACTCCTATCACCTGGAGGGAGGGGCAGATACAAGGGCAGGTGGCTGTGGAGGGCAGCCATCTGGAGTTCTGTGCTATTATTACATGTCTGCACCTGCCCTAGTCTCAGGTTTGCATTACAAGTCTGCCTAATGACTTAGTCACTTATAATTATGAGCCTCACACTGACTAGGGTAATAACTGTCTCAAGGATGTGTTTATGAGCTGTCCCACTCATGGGCTGTGGATGCAGCCCCCTTGAAATTTTGTCGATGGTAGAATTCACACAATCATTGTTCTTTTTCTTTCAAAAACTGCTGTCTTTCTCTTGCTGTGTTTTCAGTATAGTTCTAAGAAAGTCACCTCATGAGTGATACAAATACATGTGTAAATCAAATTGAAAGTTAGATACTAATCAGAGCAAAGGAATATGAACTAACAAGCACAGCACATCTGTGTACAGGGATCAATAAAATCAATCTTTGATGCCCTGCATGCAGAGTTTATCTTAGCATTTTTGGTGGATGATATGTTTTAATTTGTGGTATTTGTTGCATAAGGGAGAAAAGTTCTGAATTGGGAGCATTACTTCATTATTTTACCGCCTTAAATTCCATCTCCATCATTGCTGGTCACCAGAGATATTTTTCAAAGTTTTTCTTGGAGAGGCCCAGGCGGGTATGTAAATTTTTTTCAACTAGAAGAGCGGTTTATGCTACATATTTGTATGTGCTGTGCATGTTTGGATTTCGCTTTAGCTTGGTTATCCTTATCCCAGTTTATAAATGCTGGCTCTTCTACTGTTGTTTGTGTTAAGCTGAATCGGCATTCAAATTACGTGCTTTTGGTCACATCTGCTCTAGCAGTGATATGATCCTTCCTTGTTTGTCAAATACTCATCATCAGTATCGTCATGTTTGTGCATCATTGCCCAGATAGGGTTCTTACAGTATGATTCTTAGACAAAAATGAATGTGCGTAATGTTCAAGCTGTCAACATCATACATTTTGGTCAGACTAAGGCCGTCTTCACAGGTCTGTAAAATAGGTCATCTGTGAAATGGAGATCCCTGTTATGTGTGAACCATCATGACACCACTGGGTTCACTGTTGTTGAGGCTTTGCTGTCATATGCCTTTAATCAGAACATGCACGGATTATCATCGTAGTATGAGTGTTTCTGTTTTCAAAATATTATTTGCATGTAGCAAATAGATGTCTTTTTAGCTGTCTCTCAAGGGAGTGGAACAGTGTACATTAACTCTAAAGGTAGATGTGTTACAGTAAAACTTGACATTGAAACTAAAACTAGTGATTGGTTTCTACCCAACATGTCTTTTATGTTCTCTAGTTGGTAAAAGATGACTTCCAGAAGCGAGAGATTAAAAAGATCGAGCTTCCCCCACCCCTGACGTTGCCACCTATCACCCCCATCTCAAGATACATCACAGTCCTACCTTCACCTAAGCCCTTCCCTCAGACCTCCAGTGCTTCCATTGGCTGGAGATCAGGGTACCAGGAGCACCGGCTTGAGAAGTATGGGTCGTATGCCCGGCCCAAGGGAGGACTTGTTAAGCAACTCAATTGGCCAGCGGAAGGAATTGAGTAGCTGCCCCATACACCAGCTGGTACATGGAGCGGGAAAAACTACTTGGAGTCAGTGATAATTAATATTACCCTTGATGGACACAAGGAAGTGTTTCTCAAAAAGACTTAGGAGACAAAGGGTCTGCTGGAGGTATAAATACGGAGAACATATTTTTATTACTGTTGAAATGTATCACTGTATTCACTGCCAGTGTAGTTTGGTAAAGAATGGATCATGAAATAATTAATCATCCTATTGCAAGATCTGTATGTACACACGGTACAAAGAAAGCTTCCACATAAATTAGGTACCATTATCAAATCTCCAAACTTCTGCTGTTAACCATTCTAATCTTGCTGGCCTTTTTTATTCTCCCCAAGTGAATATTTAGTGGAATACCGTGTTAGAGTCATCGACAATATGGGGAGCTCAAGAGTCAATACACACTCTCCCACACCATAGTTGTGGGGACGTACACTCAACATTTCACCTATTTTGTGGGATCAAAAATGTTGTGGGGACACAGAAATGTCCCCCGCAACTCGGTTCTAATTTCCCTAACAAAAGAACAGTGAATGCCTACCTATGTCACAACCTTGCTTTGAATTTCAGTTACATTAATACTGTCTGGCTATTAGTATCGACTGGTTGAAGGATTTAATGATTTCGGACTCAAGAATGGTTGAAACTGAAGTAGTAAAAACATAGGAGAAAAGTGTCGATTCCATTTAAGTGTTTCTATTAAAGATGAATTAATCAACATAATGCAGATGTTATCTTTTTACAATATCTGAAAGTGCATGCATATGCAGTGGCGTGGCTAGGATTTTTCTAGTGGGGGGCACAAAGGGGGCACCAGCATCTTATGGGGGAGGGGCACCAGCATCTTATGGGGGAGGGGCACCAGCATCTTATGGGGGAGGGGCACCAGCATCTTATGGGGGAGGGGCACCAGCTTTAATTGGTGTGGGTTATGGGGGCAAGTTTTTATTTTCATTCATTTTTTTTTTTCCCCACCGGGAATTGGGGGGGGTATGAGCCCCCAGGACTCACCCACCCCTGCTACGCCACTGGTTGCATGAAACAACGATGGCTAAAAAGTGCTGACAAAGTGACAGCTTTTAGATATATGCACCTGGGTGCTGATATTCAAAGTACATGTACATGTATGTAACTTTAATATGACTTGGTAATCTGAGGCAAATTCCACGAACTTCAGTGCAAGAAAATGTTGCCAACAGAGATAATTTATAAGCCAGGTTGCTCTTTGATGTGAATTGCTGCCATTTTCTTTTCACAGAATTTTACTAAGAATATTGAGGAGCCCAGCTAGGCCTTGTCCTGAAACTTTTTTTTTTATACTTGCCTGCCCAGCAAGTTAACCTTTGTTTTATTCATCTTTACAAATAAGACATACAAAAGACAGTTTCAACCACGTAGGTGTTCTCTTTATTAGCCCGCTGGACAAGTTAAATAATGTGTGTTTTATTAGCCCACAGAAGTTTTTACTGGAACTTGTACGCTGATCTACTGCTAAGGTTGAGGCCTGACTCAGCAATATATAATTCTATTTAGGCACTTCAGTTGGCTAGACTTGGGCCTTTTGCTTTCTGGCCTGGGAAAGTATCTTTGGGGCTATGCATTTAATATGAAAGGAAGCTTGCAGTGAAAATTGCTTCTGCTCTTCAAGTTAAAATAAGTGTTGTACCTGTGGCAATTTAACATTCTTTTCATCCCCCACAGAAAAAAAAACAGGAAGTGTCATAGTTTTTCCTGTCATGATAATTCAATTCTTGGATTCTTCACTCCTGAACCGTTCACAGTGGATAATGCCGCAGAAACTCTTGTGATTCTGATGTAAAAAAACCCAAAACAAACCCCCAAGAGACTGTACTGTTAAATAGTACAGATTAGGTGACAGATGGGATTGGACAAACTGTCATCCCAATCTTCTTGAATCTTCAAGTCTTTACTAGCCGCCTTTAAGCTATTTGCCTTTGTTCTGTGAGACTTTCAGACAACAGGTGTTTATTTCATGAGATAAACTGAGAAGGTGGATGGCCCAGTGAGAATATCAAACATGTATATAATTAATTCCTTCATATAATCTCTTGTAGAAACTTCTGTATCCTTATGTCCAATTATCAGTAGCTACTGCACCAAATTACAGTATCTTTTGAAATATTCAAAGAACATGCAACTAGTTGGCCATTAGAGCTCATTGCAGACTGCTTTGTGTCTCAAAATAGGGTTGAGGTTGTCGGACTGGGTAATCTTGTGTGTTTTTGCCATTGTGCTACACAGTAAGTTTCTTAAAGGAAGTATTTTTTCACCAGTTGGAAGTGCTTTATACAGTGTTTCTTTCCAAATATTAGAGGCCTAGTAGATCACTTTCTGGTTTTGTGGGGATTTATCAGATAACCAAGATTTGCAGAGTATTGCATCATTTGCAACTGTTACTTTGATAAGTCTTGAAAGACAATGAGGTCTTTTTGAGTAGACCCATTTTTTTTACCCTGTCACAGTGAAAAGTGTCTGTCCTCCTTCACAATATCTCTTTTGATAGGAAAATGATGGGCTTTTTACGAGTCACCGAGTGCCCATTGCTTCCTACAAAATTACACGAGCAAAATGTTTTTACTAAACAATGTACATCAACTGCAGGTTATAAAAATTTTACAGTCATTTCCAGCGAGTGAGGTTCATCATATTGAAGCAGTGTGAATTTTTTTTTTTACCTTTATCATTTTCAAGTTTCCCCTGAATAAGTAGAGTGAAACTTGAAAAATGAGCCAAGTGCCTTGATGGTTGTTTCAATTGCTTTTTTTCTCCAATGCCAATATTAAAATGATAGCAGTTTCTCAATCTGTCTGTAGCGAAATAGCTGTCAAAATATTACAGTGTTGAGGATATGCTTAGTCAGTTTTGTAATTTTGAAGCAAATGGATTCTCTGCTCATTTTTACCTAACTTTATTAGCATATTTAAACTGTCTTTTCAAAATTACAGTATATGGCATTTTCCTTTAGACTAAAGAATTGTTTGTACAAACATGTAATAATGCATTTTATCATGTACATGATTTCAAGTAAATGTGCTATGTACAGTTGAGATCAGGTCTGTGTATATTTTACAATAAAACATGAAAGCATTGAATTAAAAAGTTTGTTTTTGTTGGCTTTCTTGATGTGGACATAAATCGGCGTAATTTTCAGTTATTTATTGAAATATAGGGACAAAGTAGCAAGAACTCGAAGGTATGTGCTATTGAGAAGTAACCCAAATTAAGGAACGGGACCTAATAACCTAAGACCCCATGGTTGTCACCAGCCCCATTCGAGGCCTGGCAATAGTCCACCTTGCTCTTTTTGTTTATTTTTTTTACGCTGACCGAACTCCTCTAGAAAATGGGGACCCCAAGTTCAACAGTTACGCCACTGCCTGGGGACCCAAAAGTGGATCTCAGTTACCCTCATTGGAAAGGAATTTGTAGACTGATTCTTTTCGTATACGTGCATCTGCAATATTACCATTGTTGCTTCACTCTGCTCGAATACAATGTGAATGTTCGGCGCGATCAGTCGATCTGCACGAACGCTTAATATTTGTGCATTTTTTTTTACTATCACTGCACGCGTTATTTGCCCATAATTCTTTCATCAGCGAATCACATTTCTTAGTAATTTGTGGCTAAGGACAATTGTTTTGAAACGGGAAAGTAAAGCTGGGTATTTCATACACGATCGGCTTATAGCGCGACATCGTTCTAATCGACGGTAGCGCTGTACTTTGAAAAATAATTGTGAAAACTTAACAGACGCATACTGTCCATGGCAGCCTTGTTAATTTGACGAGATACCTGTTACGCCTGAAAACGCACCCAAGCACGAGTGATAACTTACCCTCAACGCAGTTTCCGGTAGATGTAACATTGACTTGCACAACACAGAGCATAAAATCAAGTAAATCATAACAAATTTTTGACAAAAATGCATAAGGCCTCCATTTTGTTCGTACTTTCCTTTAATTTTATATCGTGTACCGAATTGCCCGCAATTTCCATTTATATTCATAAAAAAACGAGACCTGCCGTTTTCGTTTTGATGCGGACCCCAACAACTCAAGGACAGGGGACATCTGGAGGGCAACATTTCAAAACCTAGCCCCGTCGTTGGCAGCGGTTTTCCTTCAAATTACCCTATCTTGCCGACAAAAAACCTGCTGTCTCGTACCGAGTTCCGTCACGGTTGTCTACTTACGTTTGCATCCCTGTCCCGTCTTCCTAGCGACCACGGAGCGCCAACGTGCTTTTTGTGTCGCTTCAGCACTTCAGACCATGGGAGCTTCGGTGGGTACTCGGCAGACGAGACGCACCGATGAAAACCATCACCGTCAGCCAGCCAATTCAAGCCCTTTTTGGAATGCCAGAGGCAATGGATAGTTTTGTCCGTTTTTAAGTGGAAGCGTTAATGTAAAAAATTCTATGTACATTGTCCCCTCCCGGGGGCGGGGTCTCAAGCGACTTACCGTACCAATTGTGATGACTGTGGTCATCAGACTATGTCATGACGTAATGTCTGCTGCACGTGTCGTTCAGCTTTCGAACAGATGACACATTGACTGCATATTAGGCACCATGCCCGGATGAAACCGATTTAAATTATTCAACAATTTCTTGGGAAAGGTTGAAACAGCTGCAACATGCAAGGTTATCTCTCGTTCACATCGGACATCTCTTCCCAAGCGGACCCGGTTTTTAAATTGGAAGGAAAATAGGTATAAAATTGGGATTTTGGGGGGGGGAATAATTTTGAATCAAATTATGTTCAAAATGCAATCTGTCAACAGCGAAATCGTTTTCGAACTGGATGTACTTGTTTGCTCGGTCCATTAAGCGGTAGCACGTATCCCTGAGAAACAGTTTTACCAGATGGGGGGCACAGCACAAACTTTCCCATCCTGCGGTACGTCGACAGATCTGCTGCACATTCATGATTTTGGAGCGTGGTTTCCTAGAAATGAAACTCTGTTGATTTCACCTCAAAAGTACATTTGGGCAAAATGCCAGATGCATCTTCCCCGGAATAAAATGCAAGTCACGTTTTTGTTTAATCATTCCCCAAAACTGACTTACTGGTTTCGTTTGGTGGAAAACACATCTGCTTTGTTATTTTGAAGTACAACTTCCACAATCTGATTAAATGTACGTCTGGAGTGATTAATTTTTATCTCCCATTCACGTACAGACTTTTGCGTCGCCATTCACAACCGCGAAAAAAAAATCAATCTCTAATACCTGTAGATCCTTCAAGGACTAGGTACAGATAAGCAGTGACACTTCAATTTTGCATCAGTACCATTTTCTGTTTTAAATTAATACATTCAGGTCTTTTCCTTTTATAAATGAATACCAAACTATCTTTTACACAAATGTACAAAGGGCATTTCTCCTCCACTGTCACTTGAATTTTTAAGACAACCCGAATGGCACTCCAACTTGACAATGTTGGATTTGTCACAATTTACTACATTCTAACAACAAATTAATAAACAACCGTTCCTTCTATTTTCTGGAAAGCAGCCAAATTATTTCATAAATATCAAATATATTTACGAGTATTAATGAAAGTACAAATGATGAGTTGAAGATATTATTTTAGAGTATTTCTTTATCATAAGACCCTCAACTGCAGGCATTTCACAACAGAGTGCCTCCAACATTTGTCAACGCGTTGGCCAATCACAATGCACGAAATCTGTCGACCCAATGCGCATTTGGAAAGGGTCAACAGATTTCGCACATTGTGATTGGCCAACGTGTTGCAAACTCTTGGAGGCACTCTACTGTGAAATGCCCGTGTTAGGTAACTACATAAAAAAATACAGACTGCCAGCATGTCTGGTAACTTTTGAAATTTATAGAGCACTTTCTGTCCAATGCCATAGCTTGGTTCAGCAAACATTTAAAGCATACAATTAGGACTAGAAAATTACAGCTAGGCCCCTACCAGTCAGAAAAAGTGACAGAGAATGTCTATCCTTTAAACTGTTTCTAAATGTCTGCTCAACTGAAAGTGAGTCCTTCTGACAATTTTACCTGGGCATATGACAGATCTGTCCTGTCGATTTTAATCTCAAGCTGAAGTTTGGCAAGATGATCATATGTTACTTATCTGAACAAAATTATCACATTCGATTATTTCACAAACTTGTTTATTAACGTTAGCAAGGGCATCAGTGAGAAAGCCCTCCAGTTAAGAACCATATCCTTTTCCACAATGCTCACTGACTATAAATGTTATCATGTTCAATAACCTTGGTCTGACATTTGAATTTTGTAATTAGGGGAAGTTTTCATATTTTGATAAAGACTCCATCTACACCATTCATTTGAAACAGAAATTCAGATTGTAATACAGAAAACCACACTGCAGCTGACACGTGTACCTTCAATTTATGCATATTTTGCAGACAATGCAATAAGAGATGAAAACAGCCAGTTTCAAGCAACAAACATTTTTAAAGCATGCACAACCTGAAATTTTTAATGAAATTTCAGACTCCAAAACAATTTTCATAGTACCCCCCCAAAAAGAAATCCTCACATACATGTGGGCAGTAAATCAACTCTTTAATCAGGTTTGATTTTCTGACAAAAAACGTGAACAATTCAGTCAAGCATTCAGGAATTTTTTTTTTTTAATTGTGCAGCACCATGTATGTACTATCCAAAGCAATTAACAAAGAGAGCATGAAAGTGAACAAACCAATCATGTTTCCCCCTCAAAATAAAAATACATGCAAAGTGCATCAACACATATTTGGTCAAGAAAAAAAGTCTTCCCCTTCCTGATGCCATGCCAACCAGCAATAAATCAGATTTCCCAGTCTGGGATACACCCAAAGTGATTACTATGAAATACATGTACAAGGAAACTCGACCCTGGAATTGGTTTGTGCTGCACAGAAACCATGGGCACTGTGTCCAGGTTCAATACATGCAGCAAAGTGGGCATTTTCACAATAAGATTTCACTACTTGCTTCTGGTTTATAGATACCGACAAATGTGGCTTTTCCTGGGACAGTCTGTGTCCCATTTTCCAGAAAACGCAGGGCTGGCATCAATGCAGGATGATGAAGAAGTGCATATATCTCCAACCAGCTGAACTGATCAAATGAGTAGACCAAATCATATCTGCATTACAGAAAAGCAAACAAATGACGCAAACATGATGGTTTCATTACAATGGATTGGCATTGGTTACGAATCTGCAGAGTTCCATCTTCAAATGCCCATGATCCAGCGGCAAATTTGACTGACATTTTGTATTTATGTCACTCTTTAAATTTTTGGCTCACAGCAAGCAACAGACAATAAAGATCAACGTAAATGAATGCACAGGTAAAGTGACACAGGGAAAAAAGAGCCACATTGCCAAGGAGATGGACAAATGTCTCAACCAGTTTTTGAACCTCCACAACCACATGCCTGTATGGGGGAGGGGGGAGACTGTCATAAACTCCCCTCCCCATAACTCGGCCATTTCATTCAGATGGAATTGAAAGTGCCCCCACTTCACAACTGTTATTGGCGTAGTTACCCTGAGTAAATCCCACATGCAAATCCTGAGGGGTGCAGCTAGCACCCCTCCCCTTCCATTTTTTTACCAGAGCATGCCTTGTCTTTTTTGCCTGTACTGTCTCCTTCCAACTGGTTTTAAATTGTCATTAAAGATAGAACTTTGCACCTAATAAAAATGGAAAAATTAAAGGCACCTATGTTTCTCTTTAGATTTTACCTGAATTGCATCTGCAGTGGGTTCATTATATTTCAACCAATCCGCCCCTTCAACAGTTACTGCAATATCATTATGGTGCATTCTTTCCCCACATGATGAGCCCTAAGGAGTTTTAGTAACATGCGGTGGTCATTTTGGCACCAATTTTGTGAAAATTGGACATGCCATTCTTACGCCACAGGCATTTTTCCAAGAGGTCAGCTACAAATTCATACTTGTTCCATTTACGATCTTAAGACAAACACGAGTAAGGCCATGAACTTTAAATGACCATAACATCAAAATTCTTTGTCTTACTGAATTGAAACTTCACATCTTTAATGATAACTTTTACAGGCAAGTTTCAAAACAATTGGGCATGTGACAGCCGAGTTCTTGGGGAAGAATCCCCCCTCCCGACTGTGAGATGGTATAAAAGAAAAGGAGCTCTTTGCTTGATCACATTTTGCTTGACTTGTTTGAATCTTGTACTCTGAAAGATATTTTCCAATCCAGTTGAGTTTCACAGACCATGCAAGTCTTGGGCCAATTTTTATGGACCTGAAATTCACATACACTAGCTTGAACATCAAGAAGAGATGCTATAATCTGCTGATGGTTTGGCTTTGCTTACAACATTTCTAGCCAAAATTTCTCTAGGAGGACGGTGGGACAAGGGCTGGTTACAATCTGTTACTTAAGGCCAATGCACTTCAAGATGAGGTACTCCATCTACCTGGGACATGGTCAGGCGGGAGTCTCAAGAGAGAAGATGAAGCAGAGCTATTTCATGCAACAGCATCATGTCAACACAGCTTGTGAAATATTGTCCAATTACATGATATACAAAGTGGATTCCAGACGTGCAAAGTCTGAGATAAACAAAACTCCTTAATATAAAATTCTACAGGGTGTTCCTAAGGGGCATGGCCAACTCGCTACCAGCATTAGGTCAATGGCTCTATCTCCTTTGTTACATATTCCTCTTCATTTCATGGGGAAATCAGAGGATTTCACAATCAACTGTGCAGCTATTGATGAAAATAGCAAAAGATGAATTACTTTCAATAGGAAACAAAGTAGTCAGAGGAGTTACCTCAGGAATATGCCTCACATTTATTAAAAAAAGAGAGAATTCCAAGCTATGTGACAACATGGGTCTCATTTTGGACTCAAAGTAGGTCAAAGTAGTTCACTCATTTAAATTTTTTTTCTCCCAATCTGAGTGACTACACAATCAATGCTTTCACTTACATTCACCCCATGATGGTGCCTCCCACTTCAAGCACTGTTAAGGCTTTCTCCTGCCTCTCGCTAAATCAATGCTAATTTAGAACAACATCAGCTACAACCTTTATTCTCTGATTTTTCTCCCTGCCCCTTTTTTTACAGACAGGCTCTGTCTATGGCCCAGACTAAATAAACACAGACCTACAGGCAATCGATCATGTCAAACTGGCGCATTTATGATGAGTGTTTTTGTCTAGACTCAGCAGACAGAAACCCCCCCCCTAAAAAAAAGAAAGCCCGCAGAAAGATTTTTTGGCCCAAGAACAGTCCTTAATGATGAAACTTATGGCACCTATGTCTTATGATATGGGGGAGTGGCTTAAAGATTAAAAGGGTTTCTTGGGGGATAAAGCACCACCACGAGGTGACATACTAGCTGCAATTTTTTAAGGAAAGGGATCAGAAAGGGCAGGACAGTCAGGCAGCAAAGGGATGGAGACTTTTAAAAAAACCTAACTGAAATTTTTAATGGAAAAAGGACAATCTAAATAAAGCAACTTACTCCTTGTACTTTTGGGGGAGGGGGCAACAATTTCATAAAGTAAATTTGAGATGAAGACCTCACAGGCACGAAACACAACTTATTTTT